GGGGTCTTCTTTGCCTTGATACATTTGGTGAAGCTTCAGTAATTCTTGGTGAATTGTGTCCAACAGGTTCATCTTCGACTTCTCTGGTTGTGACTTCTTCAACACCATTCACAGCTTCAATTTCTTCAAGATCAACACCAGCTCTCTTTTCTTGTTTATTGTTCCAGTCCCAACCATTAGCTTCATCAAATACCACATCTCTACTGATTATGATCTTTTGAGTCTTTGGATTGTACAGTCTGTAGGCCTTTGACTCTTCACTAACTCCGAGCATCACACATTTTGTGCTCTTATCATCAAGCTTGGTTCTTAGATTGTCTGGAGTGTGAACATAAGCCAGACAACCAAAAACCTTAAAATAATTCACTTGAGGTTTTTTGCCACTCCATGCTTCCTCTGGTGTTACATTCTTCACAGCATGAGTAGGACATCTGTTTAGGATGTGTGAGCTCCAATTCACAGCTTCGGGCCAAAATTTCTTTGGGACCTTCATTCTTGCTAGCATGCTCCTTACCATGTTCATAATGGTACGATTTTTCCTCTCGGCCACACCGTTTTGTTGTGGTGAGTAAGCTGCAGTTAATTGCCTGTGTATACCATTCTTCTCACAGAAATGAACAAATTCATTGGAAGTAAATTCTCCACCCCTGTCAGTTCGAATAGCTTTAATAAACACACCAGTTTCTTTTTCAACAGAGGCTTTAAATTTCTTGAAAACTACTAGAGCTTCAGACTTCTCAGTAAGGAAATATATCCATGTTTTCCTACTAAAATCATCAGTAAAGGTTATGAAATACCTTTTGTTGCTGTTGGAGATTGGGTTAACAGGTCCACAAATGTCAGAATGCACCAATTCAAGTATTTGTGTGGCTCTCCAATTGCTCTCCTTAGGAAATGGCTCACGATGTTGCTTTCCCACCATACATTCTTCACAAACTTTTGAAGGGACTTGCAGTGGAGGAAGACCTTTCACCATATTTTTTTGTTGGAGTGTTTTGAGACCATTGAAGTTTAGATGTCCAAACCTGTAGTGCCACAACCACGTGTCCTCTTCTGTTGTGGATTTGAAACACATTTGCTTTTCAGTTGCTGATTCAGTTTTCAGTAAAAACATGCGGTTGGAAGTCATATCAGCTTGAATGATCAAACCTTTAACAGGATGATGAATCTGGCAAGAGTTCTTTTGAAACAAAATGACAATTCCTTTCTCTTGCAACTGACCAAGACTGATCAGATTGCTTTTTAACTCAGGAACATAAAATACCTCAGTTATACAGTGCTTCACTCCATTGACTTCAATCCTTATGTTGCCTTTTCCCATGACACGAAGACTGGAGTTGTTTCCAAGCTTCACATTATCCCTGAAAGATTCATCCATTTTCGCAAACAGCTTCTTACTCCCACTCATGTGATTGCTGCATCCAGAATCCAAGTACCAAGTGCTGCCCATTTGATCACCTTCGTCTTCAACATATGCCATCAGCAACATTTCTTCCTCAGTCTCAGCCACATTAGCCTTATACTCCTTCTCCTTCTGAGGACATTCATACTGAAAATGTCCAAGTTCATGACAGTGGTAACACTCCACAGTTGATTTGTCAAATGAACCTTGTCGACCTCTCCCTCTTCCACGACCTCTGAAACTGCCTCGACCTCTTCCTCTTCCTGGTGAATAAGTCTCTTGACTAACCTTTAGAGCTTGCTCTTCCATTTCATGGCAGGTCATCCTTTGTTCATGTACCAGCAGACTACTTTGCAGTTCATCAATTGAAAGGGCATCAATATCTTTTGACTCTTCAATTGAACATACAACATAGTTGTACTTAGGTGTCATAGACCTGAGAATCTTCTCAATCACAGTGACATCTTCCATTTTATCTCCATGTATCCTCATTTTGTTTGCCACAGTCAATGTTCTCGCAAAATAGTCAGTGACTGTTTCTCCATTCTTCATTTGCAACATCTCGAACTCTTTGCGAAGAGCTTGCAGCTGTGCACGTTTAACTCTAGCCGTGCCTTGATACTTTTTCTTCAAGGAATCCCAGATATCCTTTGCCGTATCCTTCTTCAGAATTGTCTCCAAAATTGCTCGATCAATGGCTTGAAACAAGTAATTCTTGGCCTTCAAGTCTTGATTCCATTCTCCACGAGACTCCAGTATTCTTTAGATCTCAAAAAATTCTCCATTAACATGCTCCAATGGTCATAGTGACCATCGAAGCGTGGGATTGATGGTTGAACAAAGCTGCTTCCTTCAGTCGACATTGATACTTGCTACGGCAAGAGTTGCTGCTTTCTTTGCTCTTCAGGCCCCAATTTAGTGCTCTGATACCAATTGTTGAAATATCACTTATAATTGAGAGAATGCAGAATAATATATTGAATGGAAAGTGGCTTTTAAATAGCCTTACAGAACAGAAAGCAAAAGAACACGATCCCATGACTAACAGTCCCTGATATCAAGGGATCCTCCTAAAGAAAAGTTCAAACCTTATCTACTTCCTTAAAACAAGGTTTATTTCAACTAAAACTAAACAACTTTAACAAATAGTAAATAATAACTTTTCAGTGAGAAGCAATTTTAATTGTGAAGTTTCTCGTGATCTTATTCTTGCTCCAGCACTAGTACTCAAACATCATATTGATTTTGAGGAAATATTGGTGCTTTGTCGGGTTAGTTTCTTGATTTCTTCTACCTTCATCCAAGTGTAAATTCTAATGAGTACATATTCCTCCTGTAATTAAACATTATTTTCACCTTTCTTCAATACAACTGAAAATACCAGTTATGTGCTGGGCTTTTAGCCCCCCATGTTACCCCAAAAAAAAAAAACCAGTTAAAATAGCAGCCCATAAGTGAAACATAGCCTTTCACTAACCCTATCTTCACCTTTTTTTGGACGAACCCTACCCTCAATTATCTCTCATCTCTCCGCCTCCATCACCTCCCATCTCTAAATAAGGTGATCCCAGCAGCAGCTACGAAGAAAAGAAGAAAAATTCAAAGATAACCCTGACGAGTCGAGAAGAAGCCGTCGCCGCCACTGGTTGGGTCGAGAAGAGTAGAGAAGCAGCCACCAGACCCGCCCAAGCGGCCTAGGCGGGAGCCCAAGCGCCGCCTAACTCCCTGGCGCCTACTCCTAACGTTTAGGGTGAACTCGCAGCAGTGTTCTCCCGCCTACCGCCTAGGAGCTTCTTCTTCCATTTTTGTGGTGTGGGGGGTTGAAGAGATAAGAAAACATGAAAAAAGGGCATGAAAGATGAAGAAAAATTAATAAAACAAAATTTATTTTTTTTTAAATTTTACTCAACAATCATTTAATATTAATTTGTCCTTACCAGCCCTTAAATGTCCTATGAATCATCGGATTTTTTACTGGCATTGGCCTAATGCATGAAAGCACTCGTGATAATAAGATTAGAACGGAATTGTTTCCGTTCTTGATAGATATGGAGGAGACACAAAGCCAAGGCAGAACTAAGCTGGTGGGTGTTGAGTTTTCTGCATATTTCTAACATAACGCCAACTCACAACAACTAACAATTGCAAGAGTAAATCAGATTATGTCACTCGTTTCTGTATACAAATCAGACTATGTGCTGGAGGAAGCCAAAATGCTTTACAAATTTTAGATGGCGCTGATTATTCTCGTGGTATTTTACAGCAGCACATGTGCTGTTTTATGCTACTTCATCTTTTTTTCCCTAATTTTTTCTGATGACTAAATAAAAATCTTAGTGTTCATTTTATTTTATTCTTCACATCATATAGATCAGATTGACCGGTGTGCTTTTCAGGTTCAATTCCATCATGTTCTGCGGAGGAGATGTTTCTTTGTAGACTCCTACAAAGAGATTCTATAGAAACTAATGGCAATGATGAAATTGCTAAATATGTTGAAGAAGCTCTCACTTTGCGTCGTACATCTACTAGGGAGTTGTTAAAACTCTTGGAACATTCCATTTATTCTCATAGGGAAAAAACAGAGAGGATAGTCCACACTTTGGATGGAAAGATATCTTCTGAAGGTCAGAGGTTCAATTGTAAATTCATTGTTGTGCAAACTAATTTCATACAGTAACTTTTTCATTTTTTAACACTTATTTTTGAAGGAGTAAGTGCATGAGGAATTATGTACTGATTATAGGTTCTTTGTTTTTCTTGTGATTCTCAGATGATATCATCCAGTTACCTAAGATTGACGACGGAGAGGGAGGTTAAAAATCTGCGGGAAGCGATTGATATTCTTCACGTGAAGCAGCTAGAGTATGCTGATGTAATTCGGACTTACCTTAGCAGCCAGTCAACAGATCAGTCTGAAATTAGGCGCATTACAGGTTTCTCAGATGGTTATAGTCACAAGCCTTGGTTTTTTATTTGCATATTTAGTAGGAATGTTAATCCTGCACTTGATTACTGACGGCACATATGTAATTTTTGTTTTTGTTTTTCATTTTTTCCCATTACAAGAAAACAGAGTAAGCTATTTGAGTTAGAGTGATCAAGATTCTAGAATACCCTGCCGTGACAGATATAGCTTCTGGAATATCAGCTTCTGTTGCCATTAATCTGCAGATAGTGGATTCTGAGGCGCATGAAGGAACTTTGTTTTGATCCAAACTCCAAAAGCTAGCTCAAACTTTGGAGCTTTTAAGTTGAATTGAATCCATGGATGCAGCTAGCAAGCTTTTTATGTCTGCCTTTGTTGCTGCTGCTGCTGCTGACTATCTTTGCAGCTTTTGAGTTGTGTTTTTTTTATTTTTTATCATTAGATATCTGTATTAATCTATTGATAATTATATTAGAAAAAGCAGCAGCCAAGGGAACTGACAGAATTGCCATTTGTTATATGCTAATATGCAATGTATGGATGAGTTGGCCACTAATGCAATGGTTGGCAGCAAAGCATGTCATTCTTTCTCATTTCTACCTGCCAGAAAGTAGGAGCAAGATAAATGTTTTTGTACCCAGAAACAATCTTATTATGTTTCAGATTATGTCACTTCTCACTTGTGTTTGTGCAGAAACAGATTAACATTTGCCTCAGTTGTATCTCCAATGAGGTTATAGCTACTACAAAGATATCAAATTCAAAAGTCAACCTTAATGGGAAATATAGGTGCAATCTGTTGCTTCATGTATAGTTATGTGCTAGTAGTACAAAATGCAAAAGTTTAATCTAAATTCTCTAACTAATTCAAAGTTCCTAGTATTAGACAAGACTGGCTCCAAATAGTGTATGGCCAGAAAGAGACAAACATACAAGTGCAGCCCCATACGTCACTTGCAAACCAACAAAGAAGTGGAGAACATGGGTAGAACTTAGGATCACTTGCAAAGAATTGTCTGATACCATGTTAGATAATCAGTGATCCCATAACTTTAATGTGTTGTGTAAAAGCACTTGTGATAATGCTGGATAATCGTCTGATACCATTTTTTGACTGGCATTGGCCTAATGCATGAAAGCACTTGTGATAATAAGAGTAGAACGGAATTGTTTCTGTTCTTAAAATGGAGGAGACATAAAGCCAAGGCAGAACTAAGCTGGTGGGTGTTAAGCAATGGCGGAGCCACAGTGGGGTCAGTGGGGTCGCACGACCTCTTGGAAGCCATGGAAATAGGCTTAGAGGTCCCTTGGAGCTGGGGGAGAGACCCCTTGGAGTTGCACACCAGGTGCTTGATGTTTTTCCTGAGGAAGAAAGGAGCTGTGCGAGGAAGAAGAAGCTGCTGATTTTTCAAAACATCCTGGGCAAAACGACGTCGTTTTGACCCAGGAATTTTTTTTTTATAAATGGCCTGGCCCAGCAACTTCCCCAAATGTCCAAACCCATTGCTTTCAATCATACAACTTTACCAACGTTTAATATACAGAGGCCCAACAACCCTTTGTATTTCCCATTTCATTGGGCTTTCATGAGAGTGGAGAGTGGGCTTTCATGAGACAAAGATTTATGAAAAACATAAAAATACTTAAATAAATGTAATAAAATATCATGTCTATGCTCCATTCAACTCAAACACTCAAATGGACTCCTAAAATCCCAAATTCTATTATTCTCTACCCTAAGTTCCCAACTAAATCTCCCCCCCAAGCCCTCAACATGGCTGAAAATTTTATTATTTTCCCCCTCCATCTCTAATTTTATAAATTTATTGTTCTTGGTATACTTAAACCTCTGTGTTACATTCTTTTGTTTGATGATAATGCCTAATATAATGATTTATTGGAATGGATGAATATTGATGATTTTGTGTGTGGGTGATTTATTGGATTGGATGACTATATATGATTATTTGATTTGTTGGAATTTAGGGTTTATGATTAATTTTGTGATGGACTTCTTGTTTGTTCATTTGTCTTAATAAAATTTGTTTCTTTAAAAAAAAAAAAAGGGTTGATTGTTTGGTTTGATTAATTCATGTGTAGAATTATGGAACGATAAGAGGAAAGTAATAGAAAATTATATTTTAGTGTTATTTTCATATTTGAAAAAATATCGGAACTTTTACACTAAGACCCCTTAGGGTAACAATCCTGGATCCAGTTTTCTGCATATTTCTAACATAAAGCCAACTCACAACAACTAACAATTGCAAGAGTAAATCAGAACAATACAATTAGATCACTCTCAACAAGTCAACAATTATCATAGCATCCACTGTCGAGAGAGAGAGAGTATGCAAAATAGTATAGCCGTACGGCTATACTGTTTTTACACGTGCCGAGCGGGCGCAGGCTCCAGGCGGGTCCCTTTTTATTAAAAATAGTGTAGCCGCACGGCTATACTTAGGTTTTAATTTTATAAAAAAGAGTATAGCCGTGCGGGTTTTATTATAAAAATAGTATAGCCGATGGGCTATACTGTTTTAACACGTGGCTAAACGGGCGCCGGCGCCAGCGCCAGGCGGGTTTTTTTATATTTTATAAATAGTATAGCCGCACGGCTATACTACGGTTTTTATTATAAAATAGTATAGCCGTTGGGCTATACCTTTTTAACACGTGGCTAAACGGGCGCCAGCGCCAGGCGGGTTTTTTTATATTTTATAAATAGTAAAGCCGCTCGGCTATACTACGGTTTTTATTGAAAATAGTATAGCCGCGCGGCTATACTTGTGATACTGTGTTATAGAGTATAGCCGCGCGATATAGCCGAGCGGCTGTACCCTTTACTTTTTAGGGGCGGAGTTTATTAAAGATTTGATTTTGACGATAGTAAATGAACTCCTCGTGATCTCTCAACGACGTCGTGTCGACAACAAGCTCTCTCCCACTCCCAGTCGTACCTGCGGAAATGCTATCAGTCCTTCTAGGCTTTTTTCTTTTGACAGAAAGAGCTCGGAACCTGAGAGCTGTAATGGTGCACTGGGTTTCGTAAAGAGCACCATAACAACGATAAATGGAAAACTCTAACTCTGACGAGCCAGAGAAGAAGAGGCCTCATTTAAACTCACTTTCGCCCACCATGGCTCGTAGCTCCACACCACTTCTCCACCCAGTAACCATAGCGTAATCTCTCTCTCTCTCTCTCTCTCTCTCTCTCTTAATAACCATGGTACACGATAATAAACCTATACACAGATAAATACTATAATATCATGTAAATGAGTTATGACTGTTTAGCAGTAACGTAACGTGGAAGGCAAGCTAGTGTCATTAAGGAGAACAATAAGAATTTGAGAGTTGGATCTCGGAAGAAGAGTAAGTTTTTAGCAATTTTAAACTATTGATCTGAATTGTCTCTATAAAAAAAAAATTTAAAAAACTTTATGAATCTAGATTGAAGTACGCATGAACTTGCAAAATAAAAGTGCGAACCTTTCGGATATATGGGCTTAGTTTACTATAAAACTTGAAAGCTTTTGGATAATATAAGCACACGTTTTATGGCTAGTTTCTTCCAAAGTCGCTTATCATTCTATTCCAAAAAACGAAACGAAGAATGAATTTGGATTTTATATGTTCGTCTAAATTTTCAAGAATATAAGCCCACTATATGTTTTGGGCCATTAGGATTTCAGCAGCCCAAATCAGATGTATCCATAGCTTGCAAATTTACCCAAATGAAAAAAACAAAAACAAAAACAAAGCTGTCCAGTTCTTTTTAAATAGATTTAGGCTTATGAGAACGAATATGGTTCAACTGCATTCTTAAAGAGAGGAAGGTGGAGATGAATTGCAATTTCAATCACATGTGCAGCTTCAAAGACATTACAAAACCACCTCAAATATGATCCGACAAATCGCATATAAAAGAGAAAGCAAAGATTTTCTAAAAACCAAACCGGCCCAAAAGTCGATTAATTTAGCAGCCCTTGTCTCAGACTGGCCCCCACCCAACCTCCTCTGTGTTTTTCTACCTCATAACTTTAGCCTATTTTAAGATAAAAGAAGAAAGAATCATAGTTGCGTCGAAAAGACGAATCCACAGTTCAATGCAACATGAAAGTTGTAGAAGATGGCTACCTACATTGTGCATGAAATTTTTGATATGACAAGTCTACATTATCTTTTTGGTCACAAAATCAAGGATAGATCGAGAGACGTGATAAAGTTAAAGCATGCATATATACTAAATAATTTTTGTTTCAACAATTTAATAGAGCGTTTCCACATGGTAGAATCTATAGGTTTTTCATGAGTCCGATCTTGAGCTGTCATATAAGCACGAATACCTTAAGATAATATTTTGGTGTAAAAAATATCAAATTCAGGATATTTCGTTGCACGAATTTCCTGAGAAACAATAACAACGTATGTAGGTTCAGTTCAGGGCCATACCAACTACGCTAGAACCCTCACCCATAATATAAACACTGCTACAAATAATGAACATAAAGAAATATAACCAACATTTATTGGGAAAAAAATTAAACACTTTGAATTTACTTGATGCAAAGCATTGATAGTATTGGTCCTTAAACTTCATTAGTGAAGGAGAAATCAGAAAGGAACTTATGGTAATATTTATTAAACAGAAAAGAACGTGCATGTGGGGCTGATGCTGGATCGACAATTAATATTGCCAACAAATCAATATAATGACGTGCATGTAATTATATTAAGATGCATGGCTTAGCTTAATTGTTTACACACAGAGAGTCAGACAATGCAATATACTGTAACCGCGTTTTTATAGATATGGACTGCTTTTCTGAAAATTAAAGCAGTTTGGAGAAAAGTCCAAGCAACCCAAGCTGTAAAAACGCGTTTTTTGCGTCGTCCTGCTTCCCTCTTCTTTAAAGCCATGAGCCATTTCCTTCTTCGAGCCTTTATTGCTTTTTGGAAAAGCAATTAGGTTATTCCTTTTCTCTTTAATTTCGAACATGACACTTTCTTTGCTTCCTTCTATTTCTGATTACAAAACTTGTCGGTTTTATAATCTTAATCCACGTCAGTAATTGCCCATGATATAATAATATTATTTTTGTTTTATAATTCAACATGTCAACATGCATGTATGGTTTCTGGGGTCCACACTTGTTTAGTGGTTGCAATAGGCTTTGCCATTGACTGTGTCTCTGTTCCAGAATCTCATTCAATTTCATATGGTTGATTTGTATTAATATTCTTTTTTCTTTTTCTTTTTTTTTTATTTACTTAGCTAAATGATAATTAATCTTTATTTTGGTGGAGGATATTTTGGATTAAAATTT